CAGATAGATGTCTCTCACTCCCATTTTTATGATATCCGTAAATGATATTATAAAATTATTATTATTATTATGTTATTTTTTATTATCCGCGAATGTTAGCAACTGGACAAATTGAATGCAGCGGTCAAGGAAAAGCGACCAGAATTGGTCAATCGTAAAGGTGTCATTTTCCAGCAGGACAATGCTAGGCCTGTCTCTTATACACATCTAGATGTGTATAAGAGACAGATAGATGTCTCTCACTCCCATTTTTATGATATCCGTAAATGATATTATAAAATTATTATTATTATTATGTTATTTTTTATTATCCGCGAATGTTAGCAACTGGACAAATTGAATGCAGCGGTCAAGGAAAAGCGACCAGAATTGGTCAATCGTAAAGGTGTCATTTTCCAGCAGGACAATGCTAGGCCTGTCTCTTATACACATCTAGATGTGTATAAGAGACAGATAGATGTCTCTCACTCCCATTTTTATGATATCCGTAAATGATATTATAAAATTATTATTATTATTATGTTATTTTTTATTATCCGCGAATGTTAGCAACTGGACAAATTGAATGCAGCGGTCAAGGAAAAGCGACCAGAATTGGTCAATCGTAAAGGTGTCATTTTCCAGCAGGACAATGCTAGGCCTGTCTCTTATACACATCTAGATGTGTATAAGAGACAGATAGATGTCTCTCACTCCCATTTTTATGATATCCGTAAATGATATTATAAAATTATTATTATTATTATGTTATTTTTTATTATCCGCGAATGTTAGCAACTGGACAAATTGAATGCAGCGGTCAAGGAAAAGCGACCAGAATTGGTCAATCGTAAAGGTGTCATTTTCCAGCAGGACAATGCTAGGCCTGTCTCTTATACACATCTAGATGTGTATAAGAGACAGGAGAGACATCTATAACTGAAATCGGCAATTACTTAGTTACCAACCCAATAGTCAAGAGTTCAAAATGATTAAAATTAGAAAACGAAAAGCTAAATAAAAAGGACCAAAATAAACGTCCGACAAAGAGGCGGAAGTTATTTATGGCTCGACCTAATAATTATTCCTTAACCAGTTGTTAGCTGTGGCGCCTTCTTTTCAGAGCGCGCACCTATACGTGTCGCGAGAAACAAGCGACGACGAACATACTCGTCAATCACAGAGTAAGCGACGCTGTTAAAATATTGGATCGAAAGGACGGATTTTATTTGATAAAATTAACAATTTTATTACTAATATTTACTTAATCATTTAACCTTGACATATACTATATACATAATAAACGTAAAACGCAGGAAAATCAAATACTAGATTCATAATGACACTTTGCACGTCGAACACCAATATCGTGAATTATTCATATAATTAGTCATGTTTTTTATTCGTTTATTTTATTCTGACCTGGCCCCCAAATATTCTAAACATCTTGAAATTTCAGAGTATGTTTTTCTTTTCACTAAAATTACAAATTAAATAACCAGTGGTCACTACTTTCTACGCACGACGAGTATACTCGTCATAACACAAAATATTAGGTCTGAGAAAAAGTTCGTGGAGTTTTTCCGATCGATGTCGTCAATTGTTAATAACTCACGAACAACTTATTGCAACGATACCACTAAACGCTTCATTTAAAGGTGACACGTTGAACGTAATTTTGAGCGCATAAACATCGTGGTGGTGCAGTACTTGGAAAGTTGTTGGCGTTTGAAAATGAAGAGAAATAACGAGAAATTTCGCTATATTTTACAATATGGTTACGATAAAGGGAAGAACGCTGCGCAGGCTTGTGAACAAATTCGTGCTGTGTATGGTGAAGGTGCATTATCAAAATCAGCTGCGCGGAAATGGTTCGCTCGCTTTCGTTCTGGTAATTTTGATGTGAAAGACGAGTCACGCTCTGGTCGTCCAGTTACTGAAAAAGCTAATGAAATTGTTGAAAAAGTCCAGCAAGATAAGCATATTAGCAGTGTCGATGTTGGTATAGAGCTAGGCATTGACCACAAAACTGTTTCGAACCGTTTACACGAAACTGGATACAAACGGAAGCTGGATGTTTGGGTTCCTCGTGAGTTGAGCGCGGAAAACACGACGAATCGAATCAACATCTGTGACACGCTGCTGAAACGTAATGAAATCGAGCCATTTCTGAAACGTGTCATGACCGGTGATGAAAAATGGATCGCGTACGACAATCGGAAGCGCCAAAGATCGTGGACAAAAGATGGTGAGCCGTCACAAGCGTTCGCGAAGCCAGGATCGACGCTAAAAAAGGCGATGCTGTGTGTGGGGTGGGACTAGAAGGGAATCGTCCACCATGAGGTACTTCCAGTTGGTCAGACGATTAATTCTCGACTCTACCGTGAACAACTGGAGAGATTACGCCACGAAATTGAAAAAAACGGCCCGAATTGCATAATAGGAAAGGTGTTGTCTTCCATCGCGACAACGCCCGACCACACATTTCTTTGACGACCCGTCAAAAATTGCGAGAGTTTGGTTGGGAAATTTTGATGCACCCACCGTATAGTCCAGACGTAGCACCCTCTAACTATCACTTGTTCCGATCTCCGCAGAACTCCCTCGATGGAATTAAACTGGCTTCAAAAGAAGCCTGCGAAAAACCACTTGATTCAGTGTTCTTAACCAGAAACTACAGAAGTTCTTCACCGATGGCATCGTGATTTTACCCGAAAAATGGCGAAACATTGTCGATAATAATGGAGCATATTTGGTTGAAATAAATTCATTTTCACAATATAAGAAATCCAGTTGAATTTTACTAACAAAACGCCACGAACTTTTTCCCAGACCTAATATAATTTAATTAATTCGCACGTCTCTCTAAACGGATTTCGGCGAGCACTTTGGAATCGTTGNTTTTTTACTCGAATCTTCACACTTTGATATTTTACTAAAACTTGATGTATTACGTGCAATTATTAATTCTCGTACACATAACAACGTAACAAAAACTTATCAACGCCCATTCTTGCGGTGGAAATTGATTCTTCGGTTCTAAATTTCCTGTAAACAATTTGTTCAGTTCACTAAGTAAACATGCAAGCGTGTACCATCGATGGTACACGTGGCACGGAACG